GAAGTGTCTTGCCCAAGGACACAACGACCGAGACTGTCCAAGCCGGGGCTCGAACCGGCAACCTTCCGATTACAAGGCGAACTCCCAACTCTAAAGCCACGACACAAAACATTTAATTCTGTTCTGCCATGCAAGACTTCTGCCACGAACCCCTGGTGACGGATCCAGTTTCTCCAGTCACTTCTAACTTGGACCAAGTCCACCTCTGGTAGCATATTACAAGAAAATGTGTGCTCGAGTTCCTGAGAAATCCCACAGACATCCTCTGTGGCGATAATAGTAATCTGTGGTGGAGTGATGGTGCCTTTCCAACACGATTTGGTCAAACTGTGACCTCAAACATTTACTGGAGACTCTGATCATGACACAACAGGAAAATGAAGCTTTGCTTTTGAGTTTTCACTGATTAACTTTGTCCTCCTTTTACAAGTTGAACTTTAGTCTCAATCAGTGGATTAAGTTCTTTCTAACTAACAGTGAGTTCAGGGTCAAACATGGGTCAGAAAATGAAGAATAATACTAAGTAAGCAATTCTTAAGCCACATAGCTGTGTCATTATTTCTAATCTATTTGATTAATTTAAATTAATCATGACAGTGACAATGCCAGAGTCAAAAAATCGTGCTGACAGCTCGTATGAGGTGTTTTGTGCTGATATGCTGTGTTAGGTTTTGTGCATTTTGGCCAAATGTCTCTACTTTGTCTGTTCTCACCCTGTGGGAAAAATTAGTTCCTACACTAAATTACCGTCAGATTTATGAAACGTGTACTGGCCTATTTTCTTCTTAAAACTGTGCTCAATCAAGTCAGAATCATTTAGAATCAACAGCCTTGTTCTATGGAACGCCAGGACTGCCATAATAAATTAATTAAATACACCATTAAATAATTAATTAAATGTGGCAATAACTAATTAATTAAATGTGTTGTAAATATTTATTTAATTATTTCCCATTTTAATTAATTAAAATTTAATTAATTATTTAATGGTGTATTTAATTAATTCATTATGGCAGTCCTGGCGTTCCATATTGTGCAACCTCCATGCAATTTGCATATCATCTGCAGATTGCTCTGCCCGCATTTATCTATCTATCAATCAATCAATCAAAATTTATTTATATAGCATGTTTAAAAACAACAATGTCGATCAAAGTGCTTCACAAATTAGGAGCGAAGAAAATAATTTACCAACAGCAACACAAAACAACACAGAAACCAGCCAAATGATAGTCAACTAACTTAAGTCAAAGCCAAAGTAAAAAGATGAGTCTTTAAGCGAGATTTAAAAGACTGAATAGACTCGGAAGTGTGAATGGTAATAGGGAGATTGTTCCATACTCTAGGTGCTGCGATAGCAAAGGCACGATCGCCTCTGGTTTTAAGCCTAAACCTGGGCTGCATTGAGAGCCTCTGGTTAGAAGATCTTAGTGCTTTTTTGGGGCTTATACAAATGGAGAAGTTCTATTAAACAGCTAGGTGCCATATTATTTAAAGTTTTATAAGTGAGTAAAAGAGTAAAAGGATCATACATTCTGGTACCTAATAAAAGGCTATATAATGAACCATGTACCTCCACGTATTGTACCATGTATGGAGAAAGCAGTGACAACTTGGGATGGGTATTGATAAGATTTTCACGATTCCGATTCCATTTTCGATTCTGTTTAACGATTCGATTCTTTATCGATTCTTTTTTAAAAAG